TTCACACTAAAGATGTAACAAGTTCGACCTCCATAGTTTCATATCTAGTGTGAATGGATTTTCTATCATTTACGGTTCTCAAGATCATCGCGCTACTTTATTAGAACTTTTATACGTACTCAAGTTAGAAAGAAACAAAAAAAACTCGCGACGGACTACATAAATGCTGTGCTTCGCACCGCGTTAATAATAATTATGCAATGAAATATGAGTCAAAACGTCAACATCATATATTTATATAGAGTAAATTGCCCTAAGCATGTTTCTATTGAGAGAAAAAATATTTGTTTTTGTCTCAAAAAGTAATATGTTTTTGTTCTAATAAAATAGGATTTATATTTAATGAGACTTGATCATACCAGTATGATTTCTTTCATTACTTTGAAATATATCTTTACGCATGCCGCCATAATATTTGTAGATAGTGTCTACCGAGAAACATCACGTGATTGATAACTATATAGTGAGCATCAATATTTTTATTGTAACAAAATATATTTGATTAGATATTCTACGAATTTGAGTTATTGTATCTGAAATTTAGTTTATAGAACACAAGCGCACATTTCTATCATTATTTATTGAATATTTTTGTCTATTTTCAGGTTAATTAGGAGTTATTGCAGAATGAATGCATGGATTATTATTCTCTTTCATTAGTTGATATTTAATGAAGAATATTACGAAAATAAAAATCTATCTCAGTATTCTTATTTTCTAATTACAAATTGAGGATAGTGTGTAGGCGGTATGTGATGATCCTCTGAATGTTTTAGCTGATCGAAAATATAATAGTTCGTTGTTGTCATCACTTAGGAAAGCTTTATATATTCATTAGAAGTGAAGGCAGCGTGGGATAAACTAAACAAAAAAAAGTCATCATTGATTATTCATGTTAATCTTTCTTCGAATTTTTCCGCTGTTGAATTGATATTTAAAAATTTGTTCGAATAAAATAAATAGGATACTATTTTAAGTAAAGAAAACTTCAAATTTCCTTTTTAAGGACTTCCGACAGTTTCTGCTACTATCTATAAATGTCAATATAACCTTTTCCGACTGGTTCTTTCCCAATGAAATAACAAAATTGGTAAAACAATTATTGAAAAAAGTATCGGAAATCAGTATTCTCTTCTGTTTCAAATGCACGACTGTATTAGCAATGCAATTCAATTTTTCTTTTTTTGTTTTAATTCATTTTTAGTAGATTATCAAATTAGGAAATCAAGAGACTTCATCGTAGGCTTCTATACAAGAATTTAACCCGTTGATTTCCTCTAATAGAAAAATACAAATAACGATTGATAAGATTATTCGACTAGTCCATTTTGATTTCTTCATTAATTAATTAATATCGATATTTTTCTCTTAGATAGTGATTCATAAATATAAAGCAAACATTATTCGATTGCATTTGTTTTTGTTTCCTCTTATAGAGTCGAACCAATCTCGATACAAATGACCTTTCCTCAACTACTTCTAGAGCAACAACAAATGGGAATCATAGCAATATGTTAGCTGATGACGATCTGCCTGATATTGATTCTACTGTGAGTAAAATATTTGATTTCCATATGAAATATCGCTTTGCAATCAAATATGATTGCAGATATATTCAAGTAACAGTACTTGTGAAACGGTAAATTGAATAGAAAACTAATTGATTCTAGATTATGGTTTTGTATTTTTTAATGTTGCCATTAATGCTTATTTCTTTTTGCGTTGAATTATTTCTTTTCCTTTTTTTTATGAATGTATATTACGAAAGAAAGACGCATTAGAATTTTCCCGAATACTGTCGTTCAATCTACGGATGATTCATTTATAATTAAACAAGAACGTAATTAATCATATTATATTTTTTCAATATGCGTTGAATATTAAATAATAGTAGAGCAGTTCCTACTGCCCCACCTCTTAGTTAAGAGTTAGATGAATATTCACGTACATACAAAAATAAAACTAATGGTCTTTAGTAGTTTTTTTCTTGTTTCTCGCTTATCATGAATAAGCAAATGACGCCATTTAACTAACACGCTGTATAAGCATGAGCCAACGTTTTCTTTTGTTATATGATGAAAGTATTGCAATCAGCGTTTCTTTATTTCTCCGCACTCTTAGCGTTCGCTACGCTTAGCATTTATTGCACAGTAGTACAAAAAAACATCTTTTTTTTTTCTTGTTCGTTCTACATCTAAAAAACGATTCTCCCACTCATTTTTCTTTTCTTTCTCTTTAGCCTTTCTTTTTCTTTTACTTCTCTTTTTTCCATATATTGAGCTGCCTCTCTCTGTTTCTATGCATCATGTCACTAGTACATGTTGACCATAGTTAAAGATTGTAGAATGATTTTTATCTTAATTTTCGAAAATAGATTATTTAAATTACTTGTGAATTTATGAAAGACAAACTATTCAACGATCAAGTATCCATGGATTTTCTCGAACTTTCTCGTAACATCGAACAGCATCGCTTTTATTTAAGTTCATGTGAGTCAGGTGCTGGCATAGACACGCATGATTCAAATATATCATCAAGGCATTCGTCCATGTCATCGACTTCGTCATTAAATGCTAGTTTACCAACGCCAGTATCATCTATTCATGCAAATGTTTTTCTCAGTATTCTCCATCGTTTACATCGTATAACTATTCGACGTGAAAAAAATGGTCGATATCGTTCATTGACGACATCATTGCACCTTTTCTTCAAAAAACATCGATCCTCATCATCGCCAATTGATATCAGCCAATCAACAATAGGATTTCGCAAATCACTATCTAGTCCACAATTTCCAACAATAAGAACAGATATTGAAAATGTTAATTTATTAAAAAAAGTCAATCGTAGTTGCCAACAGTTACATCATTCCGGTGCAAATAAAACTAGAAATCTAAGTAGTAAAAGCAATGCTTTTCAAATGCAGAGATCATTCATTCAACATATTAGAAATTCTGATAAGACAGTCAGTGAAGATAATAATACAAATACCTTAAGTTCAGTTGATCTATCTATAACACCACAATTATTTTCTCCTGTATTAATAACAGAATCAAGTACATCAGTTACACCCGTACAGCAAATTACAAATTTCGATATGAACCCTGTAAGTGATTTTTATTGTGTTGTTTTTGCTCTTTCTGCCACGTATATAATTCGTGTCGGATTCATTTTTTCTTTTTCTTTACTAAAGGCAAAACAGCGACTTTGTCTAGACATTCACAACATATCTTGATTGATATGGTGTCATTGTTATTGTTATTATTTTCCATAGTGATATCTTTCCCATGGTTAATTGCTAAAATAATTTCATTCCATCACATCGATGATTGTATCAAAGATTATTTTTCATTCCTTTCCCATAGGATTTTCCCCTCTCTTCCTGTTTTATTCATGCATACGTAATGATGATTAATATTTTATGTCATGAAAAAATATCATTGTTCGTTGATAGAGATAATGAAAGAACGTCGATGTTTTTCTTCCTATGAAAAACTTCCACGAAAAGTCAACCTTTGATTCGATCTATTATGTAATTTAAGCTGTATGTTTTATTTGATTTGGAGTGGATTTTTTCTCATCAAATGATAAGGAGGAGAAAAAAAAGCCATTTTTTCAATATTTATCTGCCAACGCCTGTCGCTGCTTAATTCGTTTTTATTCTCACCCACTATAACATATGTTTTTTTTATTCGTTTCAACTTATATGCATACATGTTACCAGTTACTCATTCTACCAGTTAGCTGCTTTTATTCAATAAGTCTCTTGTGTCAAAGATTAAATTCAGAACAACGAAGAAAATGACAGATCGCGTAGGATGACATTATGAGGTCGTGTTCTTTCTTTTTCCCTATATTGATGTACTTATTCCAATGAACTAAAGATGATAATGTGTGAAAATAGGAAAATAAGAAAATGATCCGATTAGTTCACCTATCTCATTATGAGGATTTTTATTTTCATGCATTTGAAAAAGAATCTTTTTTTTAAATACTCTATCGTTTCCTTCGTAACATTCTTTCGTTCTGTTGTTATTGCTGTTGTTACAAGCAATAATCGATGGCAACCAGTGGCGACCTTGCGCTATTAGCAGTGTTGTTATTATGTTGTGCTGTTGTTTCACCTTGGAAATGTGCAGTAATATACAAATATGCTTAGTGTGAAAAAACACATGCACACATAACAACAAGTAGTGTTAGATGATATGTGAAAATAAACAACAAATCATCTAATGGGATTTTAAGAGTAAAATAAAAAGAAGCTCAGCTGATATTCATAATTTATGTTTGTTCTCTATCGTTTCTACAAATTATGTGAACCTTGAAATATAACGAGACAGACAGACGAATAAATATAAAAAATTTAGCAATGTAAAAGATTGACATAACGGATGAGAAGAACTTTGTTTTGTATATTTGAATTTCGGGTCAGATCGCTTAATGGTATTGACATCGGTGAGCGTATGAAAAAAAAACGCTAAATTTGGCCTTGTTATGTGGTAGTCACCTCTTCGGTTGACATTGTCATGTTCGAAGCCCTATCATGATGTTGATGAGCGATTAGACAGACGGAGACGTTCGCGTTTTTGTGATTAAGAAGAGAGAGAAAAACGGGATAGGAGAAATGAAGAGAAAAAAGAAAGGATATTAAGCTTATTTCGATTTTTTGCATCATTTTTATATACAAAAAAGCGATGAAGAACAACTGTCGTTTCAATACCGTTCATTTAAGATGATTTGATACTGAGCAAACTTATGCGCGAAAGAATGCATTTAAAAAAGCAGGTATAATAGATCGATATTCTTTTTTTCCACGTTAATTAATAGATTGAGTCTATGATTGAACTCGAAATCTTAAATAGTTTTTCCTATAATTATCTTAATGACTATTTCTTTCTTACCATTTTCATACATTTATATATATATATATATATATATATTTATTTATTGGGTATTAGTGATTTATAATATGATCTATTTTATTCGAATAAAGTAAATTAAGGAGAAAACTAATTGATCAATTACAGATGCTTCCTTTTTTTTGTTTTTGCATTTGACTTAATTGGGAACAAAACAATAATTTGAAACAAATTAGCAAATTATGATGTATACTTACATAAATAATATGTATCATTATCCTTGACTAATATATATATATATTCTTGAAAACACATACAAATATTTTTTTTTGTTTATCTTTAGGATGAGAATAGTAGTGCGGAAAGTGAAATTGAAATTACCAATATTACAAAGGAAGGATGCGAACGAGCTGAATCATCTCAATTTGAACTCTTACAAACACTCGGCGCTGGTTCATTTGGAAAAGTATAACGGCATCTTTGTTTTATTCATATCTATTTAATTCATGAATATTATTATTGTGATTATAGGTTTTCCTCGTACGTAAAATTATTGGTCCCGATTCTGGATCACTCTATGCTATGAAAGTATTGACAAAAGCAAGTCTTAAAGGTTAGTATTATCTATAATAAAAAAGCAAAAATATGCAATTTTATAGGCATTTTAAATTTTCTAAATTATAGTTCGTGATCGTCAACGAACCAAAATGGAACGAGACATTCTTGCACAAATTTCACATCCGTTTATCGTTAAACTTCATTATGCTTTTCAAACGGAAGGCAAAGTTTATTTGGTCCTTGACTTTTTACGTGGTGGAGATCTATTCACGCGTTTATCAAAAGAAGGTACATATATATCAAATCGTTTTTTTTTGCTTTTTGTGTAATTTAATATCATTTTATTTAATTTAGTTATGTTTACTGAACGTGATGTACAATTCTATCTAGCTGAATTAGCTTTAGCACTTGATCATTTACATTCACTTGGAATTGTTTATCGGGATTTAAAACCCGAAAATATTCTTCTTGATACAGATGGCCATATTGCATTAACGGACTTTGGCCTATCAAAAGAATCAGTGCCAACACAAGATTCGAAAACATTTTCATTTTGTGGTACTGTTGAATATATGTCACCAGAAGTTGTTTCACGTAAAGGACATTCACATGTGGCTGATTGGTGGTCATTTGGCGTGCTTGCGTTCGAAATGATAACTGGACATTTACCATTTCATGGTCCAAATCGTAAAGAAACTATGAATATGATATTGAAGGCAAAGTTAGCTATGCCAACATATCCATCATTAGAAGCACAAAGTTTATTACGCATGTTATTTAAACGTAATCCAGCCAATCGATTAGGTGCTGGACCAGATGGTTTTCGTAATATACAAAGTCACTCATTTTTTGAGTCCATTGATTGGGATAAACTATATAAAAAACAAATTGAACCACCATTTATACCACCGATTCATTCCGATTTTGCACATTATTTTGATAAAGAATTTACTTGCAAAACACCGACAGGTGGAAAAAAAGAAAAATTATTTAAATTTTATTTAAATTTTATTTTCTATAGATTCACCTGGTATTCCACCAAGTGCAGATGCTCATGACTCATTCCAAGGTTTTAGTTACATTGCACCAGAATTAATCAATGCTCGTCAGAGTGATGCAACATATTCAAGTCACGTCGAAAGACGTTTAAGATCAATAATCGGTGTTAAACAAACACCGTTCTCCGATGAATATGAATTGAAAGAAGCCTTAGGACATGGTAAAACATCAACTTGTCATCGTTGTATACATCGACAAACACGTGAAGAATATGCCGTTAAAGTTATCAAAGATCCAAGTATCAATGATCCATCTAATGAAATTGAATTACTGTTTCGTTATAATCAATTGACTCATATTATTCGAGTAAGCCAATAGACTATGCGGAAAAACAAAGCGATTGTATTTTTTTTTTCATTTAGATTCGTGATGCATTCTATAATTCACCTACAGTTTATATTGTAACAGAATTAATGCGTGGTGGTGAACTTTTTGATAAAATTCGTCAAGAAAAATCTTTGTCCGAACGTGAGAGTGCAAAAATTATGTTTGTTATTATCAAAACTATTGAACAATTACATCGAAATTCAATTGGTAAAATAATTATTTTATTTCCGAAATTAAAATAATAAAACTTTTCTTCGTTGCTTTAGTTCATCGTGATCTTCAACCTCGTAATATAATGTATGTTGATACAAATCGTCAACCATCATCATTACGTATAGTGGATTTGGGTTTTGCTAAACAACAACGTGCAGAAAATGGTCTTCTAATGACACCATGTTTTACAAAAGAATATGCAGCACCAGAAGTTTTGTCGCGAAAAAAATACGATGAATCTTGCGATATATGTATGAAATTTAATTAAGAGAATTTTTTGTATTTAATAATCTAACATCTAGGGAGTCTTGGAATACTACTATATACTCTACTTGCTGGCAATACACCATTTGCATTTGATCGAAACGATTCACATGAAATTATTCTTGCACGAACGGCTAATAAAGTGGCATTCACTGGACCAACTTGGGAACGTGTGACAGATAATGCAAAAGTAAATTTTGTTGTTTCTTCTAATTGAAAGATTAAATATTTTATTATTATTTTAGATACTAGTAAATGCAATGCTTGATGTAGATCCAAAGAAAAGACCAACAGCATTAGAACTATGTAAACATTCATGGTTCGCAAATATGGAAAGTCTTCCGAATATGAAACTAAGTAATATTCAAGATTATAATCTTGTTCGTGTAAGTTCATCAATATTTGTTTTACGACGTGGTGAACGAAAGAAAAACAATCGATAGAATTCTTTTTTCTTTTAGCATAACCTAGATGCGACATTCAATGCTATTAATACAAATGCGAGTAAAAATTTAAAACTTGGTCCAATCGGTGATTCAAATCTATTTAAACGACGTAATGAACGAAGTGCTCATCAACAACAAACTGAAAAAGTGAAATAATTTTTACGCCTAAATTTTGTTCATGCTTTTTTCTCAAACAACTGATATGCTTGTGGTTGTTTTTTTATCCGTTCTTTTTTTCTCTCTGATTGTTTTTATTTTTCTCGGTGGTGTATATTCATCTGTCATATTTTTTACTTCAGGATATATGTGCATAACCTGAACAGTACTTTTCTTTTCTCATCGCTGTTATTTATATTCTTATTGTTGTTGTTCGTTCCGTTCTATATTTTTCAAATGGCAGTGCGATGTAATACGCAAGTGAAAAACATGTACCGACACAATTTATTGGCTATTATTTTCTTCGCATTAACTAATTGTCAAGTCGCCTATACGTATATATACATATCGTTTTTTGATCGTTTGAGAAAAGGAGTAACAAAAAAAAGAGACGCAAAATAATACCATATTTCCATCATAATTTTAACGAACAGTTGTTTGTTTTGGTTTTATCTTCTATATTTTATTTTTGTCGTCGTCGACTCGACAGGCTGAAATACATTCTGACTGTTTGATAAATGAAGAACAGCGAGGGATTAAAAAAGCAACGCAAAGAGCCTATGTTTTATTTCGAAGGAAAGTCCCAGTAGGATTCTAATATGAAAATCTAACGTAGTCTTTTTTTTTACACCGGTTTTAAAGTAATAGGGTAACTCTGTCCATTATTATTCAAAAGATTAATCATCGTTTTGAACCCTAGTTTGGGATATTGTTAAGAGTCCTATTTCAATTTTCTACAAAAAGTATCTCGTTTTATGTGTCGATGTAAAAGAACATTTTAATAAATAATAAAAACTAATTTTTTTTTGTGTCTTACTGTAGTAAATATATGAAGCCCTGATTTAATATTTGTTACAGTTAATTTGCTGTATCATATGATAGTAAATAAAACTTTTTCCTATGATGAATTTATTTGTTATAAAAAATATGACAATATTTAGAAATGAATGGGATGAAACACAATTTATATGACTTTTGTTCTCTTCGTTTTAACATAGCATCGATCTGTATTAGCACTATCGATTTGTTGTATAATCCCAATATATACCGATTAGATTGCAATGTTTAAGGCTAACTAATTCGTTTGAAAGAAATGGGTCAAAACTTTGACAAAAGAAAATTTGTAGAACAAAAATAAAATCATTTTTTTGAACATATCATTTTATTAGGTTGTTTGTATGTTCTATCAGAAAAAAATACTTATTTTAACTATAAAGATATGAAAATCTCGATGAAAATTCATTGAATTATTCTAGAAATACTGAGGGAATCAGCTTTTATTCACCATATGGTCGCTAATTTTAAAACGGTGATGATAGTGATAAGAAGATAAACGAACATGAGGCTTTTCGTTCTTCTTTTTCTGGCTTATTTTATTTATCGCTCTAGATATTGAATTTTCTTGGCCCGATCTTTCTCCGCAAAAGAAGCAACGACCAACCTAAAACGTTATCTATTCTTATTCTCATATCTTTTTTCCTGCTGATATTTACTTTCGGATATAAATAGGCGGATAACTAGTTGCCTAATGTGTCGTCTTTTTTCATTGTCTAGATATTTTGTGACTATCACTTGGTCAAGATGAGGCTGTTAGTTACTTCGATAGTTGCTTTCATTCTACTCGAAGCTTTTGCTTTGAATGTTGACGCCTACAAATCCTATGCGAATCATCAATTATGGCGTTTACATGTTAAAACTAATGAGCAAGTTGCTAAAATCTTGGAATTTAGTCGTACTGCACATCGACATGATATAAATTTTTGGTCAGAAGAATTTCGTATTAATGTTCCCGTAAGTTTCTAAAAACAAATAGTCTATATGTCTCATTGATAAATAAACGACATTTTCTTCCAATTAGATCGATGTTAGTGTACCACCAGAAGCAATTGATAGTTTCGCTGAATATTTAACATCATTTACTGATAAAATCAATTATGATGTTGCGATGAAAGATATTGGTGCAGTGATTGATAGACAAACGTTGTTACATAAATTAGTCCCATCAAAAGTCAACGATGATGATTTCGCTTATGATAAATATCACACACTTGCTGATATTCAAGCTTGGATTGATCTAATGGTTAAAACTTATCCAACATTAGCATCATCATTTTCAGTTGGTCAATCATATGAAAAACGCGATATGAAAGGTTTAAAAATATCATCGAGTAAACAAGCACTTAAACGCGATGGTACCCCAGTAAATCAGAAAAAAGCCGTATGGTGGGATGGAGGTAATTTATTATTTACTTTTTCTATCGCAAAGAATACGTGTTTTTCGATGTTTATCTTTAGGTATTCATGCTCGTGAATGGATTAGTCCAGCAACAGTCATTTATATTGCTCATGCACTTTTATCAAATTATAGCAAAGATGCTACCATTACACATTTTGTTGATCAATTCGATTACTATATTTTACCTGTATTCAATGTTGATGGTTATTCTTATACATGGACAAAAGGTAAAATATAAAATTCAATCAAAAGTATTTCGAACGCTCTTTTTTTTCCCGTTTTATCTCTCTAGATCGTTTATGGCGTAAGACTCGAAGCAAAACAATTATTCCTCTTTGTTATGGTGTTGATCCAAATCGTAATTGGGATTATAAATGGTGTGAAGGTAATAGTATTAATGCTTATTCAAAAAAACAAATTTAACATAGCTTTTATTTTAATCATAGGTGGTGCATCACATGATCCTTGCTCTGACACATATTGTGGTAGTAAAGCATTTTCCGAAGTTGAAACATTACAAGTTTCACAATTTCTTAACACTCACAAGGATACGATTGTACATTACATTAATTTTCATTCGTATTCACAATTATGGATGTCACCATGGGGTAACGAATAGGAAATTTTGAAATTATCATAATTCACTATAAATATATTTTATTCCTCATAGGCTATACCACAAAACAACCCGATCAATTCAAATTACAAGATGATGGTTCAGCTCAAGCAGTAGATGCACTTGGCTCTGTTTTTGGTTTGTTGACAAAAACAAAATCTGTTTCTATTAATTTTTGAAAATTCTAGGTACTCAATATACACATGGTAATATTGGTGCAACTATATATATTGCCTCAGGTAATACAGTCGATTGGACATCTGGTGCAGCAAATATCGTGTACAGTTATGCTGTTGAGCTCCGTGATACTGGTAAATGAATTTATTTTTCTTCTATATTTCTATTGCAATTTATTTTGTCAATAGGTGAATTTGGATTTGTATTACCAGAGGATCAAATCGTTCCTAGTGGTCAAGAAACACTAGCTGGTGAATTAGCTTTACTGAAATATATTGAAGCACAAGTTTATGCATAATATTTAACAAGAAATATTAACGAAATCTTAAAACGAACTTAGTTTTTAATATGTATTTGTTTTTACTTCATCGTTTACTTCGCTTTTTTCTAATATGAATTTTATGTTTCTTGAAAATTGTAATCGCTAAGTTTAAATAGAGTAAAAAAATGAACATCATGATTTCTTTCCTAATAACTACGTATATTAAGTTCTCTATTCTTTCAGCAAAACTTCATCTACTATATTTGAATTCTTTTCATCTTCTTTATTTATTCAAAAAAGGGACCTACTTGACTTATTTATTACTAGAAAAAAGGCTACCTATTAAAAGTTTTACTATTTAAGTGCGCAATCAAGCCATATTATTGTCGCTCAAAGCTCAATAGATTTGTAGTCAATTATAGCCATTTGTTATTGCTTGTGAGCATAATAAAACTACAATTTATAGAAACGAACAAGTCGAACAACAGGCAGTTGTAAATCTCCTTCCGCAGCCTCAATGATTTCTAATATCAAAGGAATTTTGAAGCATTCGCGAAAGATAGTCATCTTTATTCTTATCAATCAACAAAACTAATGTAGCAAAAAAGCAAAGTTTTATAAAAAAAAAAAAAAAAAAGAAATGAATTCAATGCGTTTCTATATATAATGTTGTCAAATAAATGCTTAAACTTGAGAATAATATCTTTTTCTTTTTCTTTCTCTCTCACTCTCGTCACTCTTATCATTTGCATATGTGTCCTTCTAACCAGAGTTTTTTATTGTTATACTAAACACATTTTTCTTTTCATCTTCTTCTTATCATTACCATCAACATTACTTGTTCGTTGCTAGGATGACGTCTGCCGAAAAATCAACGGTGCAACAACGATATCCCGATGAAAAATTTCCACGTTTGAAGCCTATTGATGAAAATAGCAATGCCGATGAACAAAAATTACAGCAACAAGCTAAACATCGAAGTTCAGCTTTTCTTCCACCGATTAGACCGAGTATTGTATCAAGTATAGCGATGTCAAATAGTAGTGCAGATGGATTAGGGCCAGAAATTACACACCGTTTAACAATGTTCGATATAGCGAAACGTGTTATGTCACGACAGGATTCGTCAGTATCTACAGGATCTTTTAAAACTTTACTAGGTAGTTCTCGTCCTAAGCGAACATCATTATTTGATCATATTCACCCAAGAATTGATACTGGTTTATCACGTCCAGAAATCATAGTTAAAAAGGATATAGATACTTATCAATTGAAACCAATTCATCAAATAAAATGGAGTCTTTTAAAGCTAAGCATCGAAAGAGATTTAACAATATACAATCTAACACAACAAATGCAATTTAATTCTGGTCAAATATATTCAATACTATTAAATACAGTAGTACTTTCAGTTAAATCAAAAGTGAAACAATTCCTAGCATCGACTGCCAGTTCTGATGAAGAGCGTTATAAGATTGTTGTTAATGTTAGTGTTTTTCCAAAAACAGCTACGGGATTATGTATTGACGCAAGATGTTTATGGAATACAGCTACGGATAATTCGATTACAGTTCAAATGAAAGGTGTTGATTGCAATATTCTTATTGTTGCTTATGTCTTCTATACCGATTTAGGAGCTATTATACATCGTTGATTTTTGTTTGAATTAATTCTTTTTTTAGTGTATATTAATTCTTTAAATATAATCATTTTTCAATAAACTAAATGGTATATCTGCTTTGCCGATGTGCTCTTCTCTCAATTATTTCATAGTTTTTACTCGGAAGATTTGTCTTAGAGAGGAAGCTACTTGTACAATTACGAAAGGATTGAAACGTGGAAAATGATTTAGGTATTGATGTCAACATCAAGTAGATTGTTTTATTATGTCTATTTTGGGACACATTTTTTCATCATCCTTTTATTTACACCTTCACAGAAATATGCTAACATATTATGATGTTGTTAATATTCTGTCAGTTCTATAGAGGGTAGTTCAAATTTTTGTACTTGAATAGTTTTTCTGCATCACACTTGTTTAAATGTTTAATCGTAACTGTAATTACATTTTCCAGACTTTTTTTAAACGAATCTTATCATTACTAGAACAATTTTATTGCCAACAGCATACAAATGTCTATCGAGAGTATTAGCATTATCGACTTGCGCTGTAAATATGGATGCTTCTAATCTAAACTAGAAGATTAAGAATTATGATTAATAGAATACTACGTGCTTAACAGAAATACCATTAAACAGCTAGATGATAATTTCAAGAAGTCTAAACAATATATATTCTATAAACAAGTGTTCTTTGTGATAAAATAAATATTTCAGTAACTCTGATAAAATATGTCGATCATAGTTTGTTACAACTATGTCAGATATTATATGAAATTCATTCGAAATACCGACATCTATTTCGTATCACTAATTTTACGATTACAATATTATATATATGTATATATATATATTCATGAAAATACCATTACTAATAAGTCAGTTAGTTAGTCAGTAAGTCGAAGAAAATACACATTTTTACACCAATCGAATACGTTTATATAAATAACTGTTTTATGTTAAAATTTGAAAACTGAATAAATATGGCTAGTGGTTCAACATTAAATTGTTCTCATCTTGAACAATCTCCCGCTGAAATTTTTCTTGAACTATTTAAATATATACCATTACATCAATTATATTATGGTTTTTATAACCTTAATCAACGTATCAATGATATTCTTCATTCAGTAACTGAACTTTCATTAACATTAAATAAACCAGAAGATATTGATGATGCGGCAGTGGATTTTTTTGCATCAAGTATTTATCATCTTAATGTGCAACATTCTAGTGCTGTAAAATTCAATCGCTTTCCATCGTTACGTTCAATTGTATCGTTGCTTCCACGCGATCGACAGTTACGTTGCATAAAATCAAAGGATTTACCAAATTTAACTCATTTAACTCTTCGCTTTGCGGCAATTTGGGATTGTGAAATCATGGGACGAGTATGTCAACGGATTATTTCAAATCAATTTCCTAAACTGCGTTATTGTTCTTTGTGGCCACCAGTATTTGACATTGAATCAGTCATAATTCAAACACCATTATTAACACATATAGAATTAAACGAAGGAAATCTAGACGATCTTTGTGTAGTATTGAATTCATGTCCAAATTTAAAATATTTGAAAGTATGAAAACTTGTTTCTTTTTATTAATACAATTGTATTCATTTAGTTACAGTTAAGAGTAGACACTGAGCAAAAAGAAGAGTTTCAATGGTTCGAATAGAATTTTAGTTTTTCTCACGATTTGTAAGAACAATATATTGTAAGTTCTCAAATAAATTTGGTCTTGTATTCGTATTTGTAGCTAATATAGAAAAATGTCTTGAAAAACTAAGGTACATTAGCGTTGTCAATAGTGAAAAAACAATGATCATATCAAGCAGTAAAGATCGAGTCATTAATATTGTTCTACCCGTTGAACAAATATCACAGGATAACAGAACCAAAACAGCTATCCACCCTAGAGAATCGTATATTGATCAAGCCGAGATATTTATCGTACCAAAAGATCTGGTCGTGGCAGTGGCGACACTACTGTCGATGGATATCTCGGACAGCTAGTGACAAATAATAAATGAAAAAGCAGCCGAAAATTTACTTTTAAAGAGAATTATTAGTAAGAATTGAAATGATCTTCTCCGCAGTCACAGTCACCATTTCTTTTTTCGGTATCATTTTTGTTTGGATTCTCTGATTGAATACTTATATAATCCTCTTCAATCTGATTTATTTTTGTTTCAATTAGATGCTTGTTTCCATATATGCAAAAGCTCCGACTAAACCTATTCAAAGCTCATCTGTGAAACGACTTAATGTTTCGTTTATTTGTGGTGATCCAAATTGGCTTGACAATTTCGATCATCTACTTTCATTATTACCAAATATTAAACGATTATTTTTCCATGCATGTGTTGTACAAATGGATTTCAATCGATTATCTTCTATATTGAACAAACGACTTTTACATTTACGCTATTTTCAATGCGAAATACATTCTATTAGATTTCCTATTAAACTTAATACTTTACGACGATATCATTCACTATTCAACAATATTGATTTAGAAAATATTGACGATAACGATTGTCGATGTGATGGATTAAAGATTTGTATAAATGGCGAGAAAAAAGACTAGATATATGTAAGCCGATTAGGGCAAGTGTTTTTTGTTTTGATTGTATATGTTGTAATTCATTGCAGTTTTTAGGAAAATGTTTTGAAAATATAGATATTAAACTGAATTAATTATATTTGTTAAGAAAAAGGAGGATTCTGTTTTGCTTATCGATCGAATGCATCAAAGTATCGGCATAATTTTAATAGAATACATTTATTTATTTATTCGATATTTCAAAATTTAATGATAACAATCTGTTTTACGCAGTACTATAGTGTACCAAAAAAATAAAAGGTCTATCCGAATATTTTTTCCTGAGCATTAATACTTCTTTTTCTTGACATTCTCACATTATAAAACTATCACAAATAACGGAGTTTAACCTCTGTGTATTGTTTTACTGTAGGATTTTGAATGAAAAATCAATATTTTCGTTGCGCCTGATTTGTTCGATTTTATTTTCTTTCATCAAATTGAATCACCAATCGACGACAATGATCAATGTCAAATTGATATTGTCCATTACATTCACACTGATTCGGTTTTTCATTGTATTTTTCAAGATTAAATTTTAATTGAAATCGACAATGAATATCTAAAACAAAATTGTTACTGAGCATTAAAAATAATGCATATTCTATTAATTTTCACCTGATTTACATAAAGATTTTAAATTCATAGAATGTTTGGATAACAGACCATTTGAATATGAAGATGCAATATTCGACATTGGATTCTTTCGAGAGAGAAAAAAAGCGAATAATAAAAGCAATTGTAGTTCTTGATAACCTTACTTTGTAGCAACAACACTGTTGATGAAATACAATCGAATGCACACGTGAACTAATAAGAAAGAAGTCCTTTCCAGCATCTATATAACCTTTCGACGATGACATTATCGTCAGACTTTGATTATCGCCATGATCAAGACCAAATAAATGGCCGAGTTCGTGTAAATAAGCACCAATTGAGTAAAATAAAGATTCACTTCTAAGCAAAAAATTAAATTCAATATTCTCGAAAATTTTTATTCATACTTATTCTTTGGAAGATTTTCATAGAATTCATTGAATGAGATTGGAAGAGATTTAAATTGATTTGGTAAATTTAATACAATCATATTGTTAAACGCTTGAAATAAATACAAATGAAAATTATTTTTAAAACGAAAAGAAATCTACGAACTATATGCAAATGTTAATGATGATGAAATAGCTGATTGAATAATGAGTTTGACTGATGAATCTTGAGCTAAATCTAAGGTAGATATTTGCCGATAAATTTCTTTAAACATATCATCACCATTTATCTTATTTTCGAAATCTTTTCTTAGCATTGTTATATGATGAATTTTTCTTTCGATATCAAATAACGATGAACGTTTATATCCTATTTGTTTATAGAGAATTTCATCGAATGTAGATCGAACAAGTTTAGTTAGAAAAAGAAATTTTTTACAGATAGATTCTATATGATGATTATTACAACCATTATCATCATCATCATCAGAAAATGATACATATATTAATCGAAGAATAATATTAGTTGTTTTTAAAGGAGAAAAAATCAATTTAAATGATAATTCTGATATTGATGTTGATAAATGAATTATATTTTCACCTGATACAAGTTCTACATAAACCTATAAAGCAAATTTTGTTATTTAAATACCATAAAAAAAGGAATCCTACTTCACCTTGAATAGGCCTTGAACAATTGGCCATTGATATTTATTATTAATCAAAATTGTTTCATGATAAATATTATCGAAACCAAACAATTGAATAATAGGTTGATGAACAATTTGTCCTGCTTCATAATTTATAATCCAGATACACATTCAAAATCTTAAACAGAAGAAAAATGACGTTTATTTATTGACTTCAATAGAGAATATTGTGTTTTCTACTTGAATATAAGTGATATTAAAAATGAAAACTCTTTATTCATTAAAATATCAATCAAATACTGATGATTGATTTTTATATAGGCGTTGAAAAGCTGTAATTGATCAAGATAAGCATTAATTCATCAATAGTAATTGTGTGCCAGCTTTATTCCGTATATTATATATATATATATATATATAAATATAATTCAGAACGCGATTAATGTGATTATCCGCTTTCCCAAAAAACAGTCTTATTAGTGAATTTTGTTTTGATAACCACATCTTTGAAGTGATGATTTTATACAATGTGATACAAATCACATTTAAATGAATGACTAACACATAGAATTACTCAATAATAAGGTCTAGTATAAAGCAAGAAGGTGATATAGTAAAATTTTAAAGATAAAACTAATAATATCACAGTTATATATTATACTCTTCTGGACTGACATGACAAATTTTTGTTTGTCAAAACAATAGCAACTCATCTTGGCCGTAATACAAATTCCAGTCGATCTATCTTATTATCAACAAATAACTTTCTAATACCTCAATAACCTTGATACGTCATAAATTACGTCAAGTAGATAAGCCTGTATTAAACACAATGTAAAAGTATTGTAACAAATCAGACAGGGTTTTCATTTAAAAAAAACGTCTTCTAGAATACAGTGGAGCCATATCTGAATGTGATTTTCCAAATGAATAATCGTATATGATAGTTACTCAATGAATCATATATATGTCATTTCCCAGTTACAAATCGAACTCGTGTATACTTGATTAACATCTATGTTGTCATATTCATCTAAGACCAAACGAGTCATTTACAAATTAATTCCTCTTTATCGCAGAATCGAAGGTCTTGTGCACATAAATGTCATGTATGATATCACAGCCGACACGTGTGTAAATATTCCGATGGACGAAAAACAAAAACAATGATAATCATTCTCATTTAAGTCTATTCTATACGGCTTTTCACCTTTGACATAAATAAGAACAAGTGCTTTATACGTATATTCACATTCTACGATCAAAAATCAACCATTAAAGCGATCTTTTGTTTTCTTTTGGTCAAAATGCTTTTCTCCTGCTGATTCTAGAAAGATCAAATGTCTATTTTCTTTAACATCCGTAAGTTTTCTCTCTCGCTCTCTTTATAGAGCTACATATATATCTATATATATGTACAACTATATTCCATGGTCTTATAGATCATGTTTTGAAAATGTTAAATCAACTTTTTCGATAGACACATGTGCATCAGACAAAACAAGAAATGATACTCAACTTCTTTTTAGTTGAGTGTCATCGAACACATCATAATTAATAATTCTTTTTTCTTTTATAAGATTTCATTGATGATGTCTTGAAAGAAATAGATGAATAATAAACGATATAACTTTGCTATTTGCCAGAACGACAACGTGTGCACAACAAAGATAATGAGATCACAACAATAATAGCCACCAACAGAATAACATAGAGCACCCATCAGCTGCAGTAAACGAAGTCAGCAAGCGCTTAGACAGGAAAGGCGACAGTCAAAGAATACCAAGACACTGCCAGATGAGGAAAATATCATCTATCATGTCAATCAGCTTGTCTCAAGAAGAAATGGAGATGGCTAGAGAGAAAAAAAGAAAAGAAACAGAAAAAGGAAAAGATCTTACTCTACGATATGAGATATACCTCAACTATTCTTCTATTCTTTTCTTTAAGAGAAAGACGATTTCCATAATCATCATCATAATAACATAGTTCTGTTTTTTGTTTTATCCGTTGTTTGTCAGCCACCGCAGCTGCACTAAACTACTTGCTCATATCTACATTTGTGTGTATTATCACAATGGCATCCGAAGGAACTGCAACCGGTGTCGCTGCTAATACGTCAAGTGAATTAAATACTGGTCGCATCGACGTTGTTTCACTTATTGTCCTTGTATCTTATCCTAAACATTATCGTATATTTGCCGAAAAAGAACTTGTTCTTGAAATACTTCCCAATGCATCTGACTCAGCATTTGTTTGGTTTGGTAATTATTCGGCTGAAAAAGACGAACATCCACTTGTCTATATGGATGTTATAAGCAAAATGATTCGTCTAGGTTATCAAATATCCGCAGCAACTGGTGGTGGTGGTAATCCAGCCATTGGAGATAATATGTCTACTCATACGTCGCATTATATTTTGGTCAGAAAACGAGCATAAACAAAAAGCAAGTGAACTTTCGTTGTTTTTCTTAGGATTTGTCAGTGCACTAATGGTAGAGGTTGGTTTTTCTTTTTTTCTTTCGCTTAGTACGGTATTCTTATTTCTTTACATTTTGTTTGTCTATTTCAATCAAAGTGTTCTAGTACATCTACACTATATTCTAATGATTAGTTACTCTCTTTTTTTATCTTGACTTTTTACATCCTTTAACACCCGACTATATTTCTTTTGTCATCTGCATGTGTTGTCAATGAATAAGAGAAAAAGAGGAATTTGATAGACCATATGATATTCATCAAACAATACTGGTAACATGTGTGATAAATAGATAGTATGACTGAATCGAAGACTCATATTATAGCACAAACAAAACAAAATAATGGATAACCTTGACTAATGCATATGAACGATACAAATCGTATGGAATATGTGTATATACGGTCAGCTAGAAAAATAAAACATAATCATTAATAAGACATAATTAAACGTATAAAATTAAAAACAAGAGGATCTATTTATACCGGTTAAAGATTATGCATTAACATATTGGAATACTTAGATTTAAAGGACTATACGAGTTCTAAAATGCAATATTGATTAGTCAATAGTTGGTAGTGCATGTGGCATTGATTTGTCTCGCTCGTATCTAATTGGAGATTCTTCAATAAACGATAGATTCATTCATTTAAATAATTAAATTTTAGAAATAATTATTTAACGGAAACACTAATTGAATTCTAGTATTGATCAATTTCTTACTACTGAAAATGTCTTCTAGTTAATTTGGCCAAAAGATTCATATTTGCAATAAAAAAAATACCAAACAAGTGCAATTGTAGATATCCATCAAGACATCGTATAGAAATATTCTCCAAACCATAATGAGCTAATTAATGTTTTTGTTTTTCAAAATCGCGTATTCTCCTCAAAGTGTCAACATGCTATTTATCATTTATTTCTGTCGATTTTCAGTGAGAAGTATGGAAAATCTAATAAGTATATGTAATTTATCATCTTTATCAAACCTTTCTTCTTGATCCTTTCATTCTGCTAGTTTTAAAAAAATTAAGAAACTCAAGTACATGTACTTTGGCTATTTAATCAAGTACTTTGATACAGTAGCTAATGGTGTTACTATGTAAATTTAGGTTTGAAAAAGAATAAATAAATGGATTTAGCCTTACTCAACTGATTTGATAAACAAAAGTCTTCGCCATTCTATACTTTATCATTGGTAATTAGACGGATTCCAAAGATAGAGTATCATCATTGTCTAATCTATATATAAATATTTATGTATTTTTCTTTTATGAAAATGAATGAGTTTATAATACCTGAGCCATATCTTTAATATTCAAGTTTAGAGTTTAATTTATTCAAAAAGAAATAAATATCATAGTTTTCTATTATTTGCTGGTTGAATGTTAAAGGCCGAAAAAAGGCTTCGCTTCCATTGATAGATGGCGTCCATTATTTAGTATATGTGATTAATATAATGTTAGATGACAGTAGTTATCATATTACGCAATTCAAACCTAACAAAAAAAAAACATTCGGCGACTATTTGATATCATATACACCCTGCCGATAGACGTCTAATTATAAACCATTAACTATTTACTGATCATCATTATAATCCTACATACCATCCACAAGTTAAAAAAAAACATGCAGCATCGAATCTTTCAGAAAAACCTATAATCACCATTCAAAATAATTATTAAAACTACTTTTTTTTGTGATATATGAGGTTTAGTTGACAAATGGACATGTATGCGAACAACTCAGCATATGTTGTTAATACTGCAGTAAGGGACTTTTCAATATAAGCAATCATCTTCTCATCAAAAATGTTTCAACGAGAAGTGTTATCAAACATGCTGATTCCAAATAGAGTTATGAGAAGCTGTTTTAGACTTTTGTAAGCAAAAACACAAGTTTTCTTTCGATCTGCTCCAACGATAGAAAATATCGATTTGCTTAGAAAATCGTGATAGCCCATATTCTATTTTCCCTAGAAACCAAGATCTTGCTACTTCAGATCAAGCATACATAGTAACGTCTCCACCAGAAAATCTTTCACAATCATGGGCAGGGTGGGTATGCGTGTTCTTATCTCTCTTCACACCCACATCCCACCCCAGATATTTTTTACACTAACTTTTTTCTTATCACTTATCGTCATTCCCAGCTCATATATACTCTTTCAATTAATTGATAAGAACATATCAATTATAGATTACATTCAAATTAATTAGATAAGTCAATAAATTCATTGATAGTCATTTGTTAAAAGTGACAATACATAGAATTAAAAGACAGAACATTTTTTAATTCAGATATTTAATTGATTTAAAAGATGTTGAATTACAAAATTAGATTAAACATTTTTTTTAAAGGCATCCTTTCACCAGAATAGATACTACTGTATTAAGTTAGGCAATGTTGATATAATTTAGATATGGATTGCTATATTTTTAGATATTACATTAATGCATGCCATTATTTAATTCATACAAAAAGCAATCTACCATTGAATTAATTAGCAGACCAATAACGTAATCTTAAATTTTCTTCAATTGCTCGAAGGCTCACTAAATAATAATTATAGATTTCAATAAAAAAATCAATTAATCTTCTTGAGTAATTCAAGCAAACTTGTTATGAAGTATCTGTCATTTCTTTAGCAAAATTTAAAGCATTTTTGTTTTTAGTAATTGAAATTCCA